TGAACTAACATGCAAAGTAGTTGAATAGTGATGCAATATGTGAAACTAATGTGTACATTTTAGAATAGTGGTGTAAAGTTTGAAACTAACATGCAAAGTAGAGAAATAGTGATGCAAAGTGTGAAACTAATGTGTAAATTTTGGAATAGTAGTGTAAAGTGTGAAACTAACATGCAAAGTAGTAGAATAGTGATGCAATATGTGAAACTAATGTGTAAATTTTGAAATAGTGGTGTAAAGTGTGAAACTAACATGCAAAGTAGTAGAATAGTGATGCAAAATGTGAAACTAATGTGTAAATTTTAGAATAGTGGTGTAAAGTGTGAAACTAATGTGTAAATTTTAGAATAGTGATGCAAAATGTGAAACTAATGTGTACATTTTAGAATAGTGGTGTAAAGTGTGAAACTAACATGCAAAGTAGTAGAATAGTGATGCAATATGTGGAACTAATGTGTAAATTTTAGAATAGTGGTGTAAAGTGTGAAACTGGAGTACAAAGTAGTGGAATAGTGTGAAACTAGAGTACAGAAGCACAGTAGAGGTGTACAGAAAATTCAGTTGGAAAACTGCTGACTGACCGACTGTTTTGCTACGATGCACACTCAGTGCAGAGAAAACAAAGAGTTAACATAAGGCAAGATAGTGCTGACCTCTTGACCTTGGTCAGTGTTGAAGTCATGGGGCTTCCCCTGACCTAGATTTCTCTCTCTGTCATTGGCTGAATTGCAGATTAATGCCTAGGGTACAGTTCAAAATAGTAATTTTGACTGACTGGAGTCTATGGTAGGTAATTTAACGTGGTGAATTGAACCGTATGAATTTGACGCAATGATAACTGTATGCATTTTCACATGTTTCTATAAAATGACTAAAGCACACATTTTTTTTGTAATAAAACTGATTATATTCTGTAATAACCAATATACAATACAAATACACAAAGGTAATTCATGTGATGCAATTAATCCAGTCAATACTGAATAGCCATGTCAACAAAACTATTTTACACAAACTTATTCACATGATTTTTCAGTTTCCTGCAAGCCCCTCCAAACCATCTTTAGAGTGGGAAACATAATTTAAAATTATGATATTAATTTAGCTTATTATGAAATGAATATTTCAAAGGATTTTAGCCTTAACCCTTTGATGAACTTCACTTTTTAACCTTTGAAACACCCAAGTTTAGTTTTGCCATTTACAAATTAAGTCTGCATATTAAATATAATTTTTTCAAAAATACCTATCACAACCTGTAGCCAATGAAAATTGCATCCATCAGGTCCAAAAATTAACAATGATCAAAATAAATAAAATTGTGAAAAACGTTGCAGCAAATTTTCAAAGGAAAACACTATAGTTATTAACCCTCATTAGAATAAATGTCCAAAATTCATTGCATATCATTCATTAAAACTTGTGATGTTCTGTGATAGAGTGTCGCCCAATTTGCATTATACTGTGACAAAATAAAATTCACATTTATCTATTTGGAAGATATGGATTCAAAATATAATCTTTTCAGTACATATTAATCAAAGTATGGTACATGACATCAGATTGGTGTGAATAAGATAAAACTGATAATCCAACTTTTGAATTAATTTGGTATCACATTTTGTGCATAATTCTATATTTTAGAACAAAAACAATTTCCCATTGGCCACAGTTGTTCATCAAATTTTCTGAAAACAAATATTAAAAAATTATTGGAGTTTATCATCTGAAAGGCAAATTCAACATTAAAAAGGATAAATAAGAGGCTAGAATTATTCACATTGCAGGGCCAAAGGTCAGAAGTATGAATAATAATTACAACTGATACCTTTTATCAGCTTTTATGAAGGATGACTTGAATACATTAGTTTACTTTTAAGAAGACATTAACATATTCATCAAAATTTACAAACAGTGTTTAATTTGGTCCAAACAAAATATTGAATATATGATCTGACATATTAGGAGTTATAAATCAATAAAAAGGCAGGTTCATTAAATATATCTAATACACAAATCTCAATTTTTGATAAAAAATCTCAAGATAAACAATATCAAAAAGTTCAATAACATATTTTGAACAATATATATATACATAAAAAATCAGGTCAGTTTATTTGAATCGCACATTTGATAAAAACTAGTGAAAATAGTTTTATATCTAACATATCACAATTCAGTAAAAAAACAATTTCTTCATTATTGAGAACAATCAATTCCACCGGGAATAAAGTGATGAGCGGTAGAGGTAGAATGAATGGAATGGAACCCCCAGACTTATCCAAAGAGCCTTCTATTAACAGGTTCAGTGGTTGGAACCAAGTGGTACTGATAAGAGATATCCTTAGTAGTTGAAGCAACAACAGCAACAGCAGCAGAGAAGAAAATTCAGTATATACACAACATGCGGAAACTCAAGTTTATCGTCGATGTGGTTTTTCAGGAGCTGTGAAAATCAGAATAACAGAAAAATTAAAAATGTTTCTCATTTCCCAAATTTACAAATCAATGATCATGCACAAAAACGTTTATCAATTTGATATGACCTATTTCTACAGCTAAATATTTGTGTCACACTGTGTAATTTTGAAAATACTGCAAAAGCATTAATTTCTACTGGGATATAAATTCTTTATTTTGAGCATACCCACTGTTTTTTAAAAATTCAATAATTTGCTAGTTTAAACAAGTTCTACAGTAATTTAACAGGTTCACATGATTCTAATTTAGCAGATTTCACTTATCAGTGAAAACAGCAAAATTTCAACCCAGTAATAAATTAATGCACTTACATTATATATATTTATTTGTTGTTCAGAATTTTGTAAAATGGAAACAAATTAAGAGGTTTATTTTGTCATGAAAATTCACTTCAGAATATAAAAATTGAGAGTTTTAGCAGTTTTATGTTCAGTCTACACCATTTTTATAGTTTTGTGAGTGGAGATGATTGGACTTTGTGTGTGGTTGAAAGCAACATAAAATATATTTGAATCTTGGGTAACATTTCAGCAGTTAAGAAAAGAGAAATAAAGAAAAAAAATGACAATTATGCTGAATGAACAATAAAACCATTCTTTTTCAACACTATAATTTTGTCCACCAAAATTTTTCCAACATTAAGGTAGAAGCCTATTCATAAATTTAAAAACCCAGAATTTATTCATTTTCCAATAAAATGTACTCCAAGGCAATATAAGGATATGTATTGACCTAAAAAAAAAGTTTGTGGTCACCAGCCTTTTTTTTTCAGAAATTGATGGTTGTATTTTAGTGGAAAGTCACCATTTTGACACTATTATAACACTTTTACCACAGGTTCCTATGGCAGAGATATTATGCAATATCTCAAAATCTAGCCTGGTTACATAGGATGAAAAAACATAAATTGTTAATGATGGAGTACTTTTTGTTATTCTGAATTATTTAAAAAATCTGGGTTTTAAAATGTGTCAAAAAATGCAATTTTTCTTTAACATCGTGTTCTATTGAATTGTTCTAAAAATAGCAATTTTCAAAAAATATTAGGACACATTTCCCAAAAAGCTTAACTGTAACACAAAAAATAATGATATTTCATTGTACCGGTGGACATTAGCTTCATCATTGTACATAATAAACTAATGAACATTGCCATGCGATTTATTACCAATTTTGTCAAAAATTATGACTAGGCTTCTTCTTTTTTTTTCAATAAATTGTTTGTGTTGGACCAAATTCACACATTGTGAGATATTTTTGACCAATTAGCTAATTAGCTTATCTGTGATTTCACTAATTACCGGTAAAGATGTTGTTGATTTAAAATATATGTAAATTCATGCATTGAGTCAAATTTGCTGAATTTCTTGTAGCTATACAGGGTTTGATCTTCACAAGAGAAAAGCCTGAAACATGAAAAGTAAATAATTTGGAACAAAAAGTCTGATTAACTGTTGAACATTTGAGACTTGTAAGGTCAAATCATAGTTAGAGATTGTGTATGTTAGTATAATCGAAAGTGACCAGAGCTGAGCCGTTTCCTACATCTCATTCTAATCAGATCAATACTTAAAAAGATCACTTAGTCCAATCAGCTACACACACAAGCTAATACAATAGGAGTGCTCACCCCCTGGATATCAAAACATTACAGAACTAAACACTATTATAGCGTGCATCAAAACTGTGATATAACAAAATCATGCCGAAGAAAACATTTAATCTATACTGTAAAAATGTTTACTCTATTAAACATATTTATAACTTAATATAATTGATTTTCAAATAACTTACCATGCATTATTTAGATATTAAAAATAAGAAACTATGAATAAATTAGTTTAATAACTTTTACTAGAGTTTTTAAATTTGATTATGTTCAAATTGGTGTTATACTTGGCTGTGTTATTAAACATACTGACCTTGAACACTATTCTAACAACTCTGAATATAGAGTCACAAATAAAATGAGAAATGAAAGAATCTACTAAAAGTAATTGTAAAACTGGTTGTGCATAAATTATGCCCTCATCTAAGCCGACTGACAAGCTGTAATGTTACTCCACTAATCATTGGTTGATTCTGAGCAAAAAATACACAAAAATTCATTATTAAAGAAATATGCAAGTGTTGTTATACTTCCTGAAAAATACCTAACTGTATATGGCATGCATCCTTGCATTTCAGAAAGGAATATATAATATTGGAAGAATATGTTCGGGGTATTGCATTTTGTAATGCAAGAGTGTGCTCTAACTAGTTTTCAATTCAAAATGGCTACCAGAGTAAGGTTCAATGATATCCAAAAATCATAATTGTTTCCATGGGAACATGTTGAAAATTTACTGCTAGGCAGCATTTATCTGTAATTCAAATCTTGAGTGTGTCTTGTTTATATCTCAGCTGCATTTACTAAATATGATGCATCTTTATAAACAAAGAATGAAGATGATGTAAATGACAAGCTATAAGCATGCTTCAAGATACTTACGTGGTTCTGATAGTTTGATTTGTATAGGTTGTAATATCTCCTCAAATTCCTTCTTCTGTTGTACAAAATCTTCAATAGTTGGATTTTCTGTCGTTTCCAGCCATTCTTGCTTCTCACTACATGCATTTAGAGCAGTAATCTAGAAGTACAGAAAGTGATATACCAATAATGCAACAGAGGGGTGCTTATTCTAGCTATTAGAGCATCTACACATATGAGAAATGATGAATTTCTGGTTCTCAATTGTTCAAAAAAAAATGTACTGGGAATGCAGCTTCTATTACAGATTTTACGATACTAATAATAATATTTTATTGGGTTTTGAAACGGCTTAAAAGTTAACATACATAACATAATTCAAAGGAAAAACTGTGAAAACACATGTACATGTTTCCAATTTCAGTGGTCATTTTGTAAATTACAGGTAATTTCCAATGAAAATTGAACAGGTTTGTATAAATTGTGCTTGTCAAATGAAATTTTGTACATTTCTAAAACGGGAAGTGGTAGCTAAAATGGCAGGTAGACATGTGGCTGGCAGAAAGCCTGGTCACACGTGATCTGTATATGTAAGAGCACGGTGAGATTAACGCTTTGATGCATAATGATCAAATCTCCAGAAAAACCCTGCAATGTTTAACTTACCTTATCGTCTTTAGTCAGTCTTCCCAAGACTTTCTGTGGATCTTCAATGGTTTCTTTTGTTTCCTTGCAAAGATGTTGTAATTCATACCTTGCCTCTGATGTCACACAAACAAAGAAATGCAGATACAATTAAGTGAATGTGATGAATTAATTACGACTTCACTGAGTAACCAAAACTTACAAATTATTTTCCATTTAGTGAAACTCAGTCAGTGGCAATGAAATTTCAGTACATTCGGCATTTGCATCTTCTACACAGAGATACATCAACTGCGTATACCGTACTTCTTTTACATTCAAACACTTTCTTTTGATACATTAGATGCAGAAGCACTGTAGCATGAGATGAAATAGAATCCCTTTATTAAAAGCAAATGCTTGTACAGCACATGATGTTTTTTGTTTGCATTTTTAGTCGTTATCTCTTAATAAATTATTACTACAAAAATCACAAGAAACTGGCAAAGTATACAATCAGGCAGTATGCTACTTGTTGGTCAATATGATTTCCATAATGCCTTCTTGCATATTTTGTGGTATTTTCATAATATCTATTTGTCTTACCTGCCCAGTCAAGGTAAAAGGCACACTCTGTCCTGTTGTATCTCAATGCTATTTCCTTGGCTCGTTCTCCGTGAGTTGTTTTCATTTTCATGTTAGCTCCAAACTCGACTAAACATTTAATACAATCTAATTTATCCCACGCTGCTGCTCTATGTAGTGCTGTATACCCTGCAAAACAACATCCACAATGACTTTTTAATATATCAGTGTACCGACAGACACCTTAAGTACATGTATCTTACGTACAATCGGTATACTACTTCAGTTAAGAACATCTAACTTAGTGTTTTGTGTCATGGTTTTGCTTTGATGAGAGTTTAATAAACAATATATATATTTTTGATGATGAAATACAAGAAATATTCTACTTTTGTAGACTTTTATTTGCGATGCCAAATTGATATTACTGTATTAAGATTACCTAAATTCAGCACCACAATAAGTTCATAAATCAATGAAGGTACATACAAACCCTTATTTAAAAAAAATAAGAACGAGGTCAAAACCCTTGTAGTTGTACTCTAAATCTAATCATGGGGTTTGATTACAGTACATATTTACTAAATTCACCTCCAGCTCTAAACTCTCCCTCCCCAACCTCCGTGATAAAATGCCCACATACTCACCTCTGGCAGTAGCTGTGTCGACCTCAGTTGAACCATTCTCCAAAAGTTCTCTCACTATCTCAGGTCTACCGAGGACGCAGGCAAAATCCAGTGGCGACTTTCCTTCATGGTCTCGTATATTTGTGTTAACACCTTTCTCTATCATAAACCTCAGAATTTCCAACCTGCCCATGGTGCATGCCAAATCCACCGGAGCTCTGTCATCATCGTCGTCTCGTTTGTTCAAAAGTTCATCGACTTTCCCGTAGTGCGGGTCTTCCTCGTTGTCATAACATTGCTGTAATCGTTCAACGTCGTCCTTTTTTATACATTCTATGAGAATATTTTCAATGCATGGAGGTTCAACAGACCCACTTTCTGAGCGCACGTCTTCTGCTGGTTGCTGGTCGTCCCCCGTAGTCATTTCAAAGAAAATGTTTAGTCCTCAACTCAAGCTCAAATGTAGGTTAGCAACTTCTGTGATTCCCCGGTAAAATGGTTTCCTACAACATATATGACGTCACGATCCCGACAAAATCTCGTGTTCAGAATTTCAAGGGAATGTCGGTTTAAACATTGAAATACTTTTTGAAATATGACATATTGTGACATGGTGTACAGTATAGCACATATGTTGTATAGAAATTGTGTTTACAATCAATACAGTTTTGTCGTAAGATGAAAATTAACAAAAATACGGTCTCGATCACGCGAGATGTCAGTGACAGTGACGCCATTTTGAGGGGATACGTAAAAAAGCCCGGAAGTAGAAGAAAGTGTTGTCTATATTTGACTGTTCTGTTGATCTGTGTGAGTAACGGCGACATTCAGTTCTACCGGTAAGGGTTCATTAACATTTTCGTGTTAGTTTGGTTAGCCTACATCTTCCAATAATATGCTAAGTAAATGTGTTATCTAACGCCAATCAATCTTGTTTTCGCCGTACAAGTCGTTTGGACCCCTCGCCGTTTGGACCCCAGGACGATTAGACCCCAGGACGTTTCGACCCCTCGACGGTATAACCGCTTGACGTCACACTTCTCAACATTTGCACCCAGCATTATTTGTCAAAAGTTGCAACATTTTACTGGATAAAACTAGATACCTGACTTTGGCAACAGAATCGCGAATTACGGCGTTCCCTCGACGGTTGAACCCCTTGTCGTCACAACCCCAAACGTTTGAACCCACTCTTATTACGAATATGAATACTGCCCGATCAAAAGCAACAACCACTTCACTGTATAAAATTAGTTGATAATAAAAAAAATTGGCAACAGAGTCGCAAATTACAGCGGATATCTTTTCTGATCGATGCCTGGGCGTTGGAGAGAGTTCAGTCCGCCATGTTGTTTACTATCGCAAGGCTATTGTTTAGCAATAGGACTATACCATTCGATTCTTAGGGACAGCAATATAGTCAATTAACACATTTCTTTTTTGTTTTGTTTTCAGGAAAAAGTCAATGTTCTTTTCCATGTAAAGCTGTGATTACCCCAATCAAAATACTAGTAGTTAGGTGAAAATACGAGAAACATATTTACAGCCGGTACATGGCTGTCATTATTTCATCAAACAGGAAAATGCGAATGTTCATTTGAATTATATTCTGTCGGGTTCATTTCCGGGGCCAAGACAACTTGTAGAAATTCGAATTCAAGTAGGGAATAGACTACAATGTTCAATAAACACACTAGCAAACATATACAAAGTTGCATATGCTAAGCTTATTTCGTATTTTTCATGATGCCGATCGAGTGGACGAACGTGAAACTTTAGACCACTGAAACAAAGCACGTCTTTTCAACATTGAACTTCCAATGATGCTTTGCTTTGTAAATGCTTTGTTCTATAAAAGACAGTATAGTACAATCGCAAAACACATGAGGGGTCTAATCGTCCAGGGGTCGAAAGGGCGAGGGGTCCAAACCACAGGCGCTCGGAACGTTTCCTGGATAATAAAAAATGACCTAAAGTGGGATCGGCATAGTTATAGTCAGTCGCCGGTAAATTTCCCTACTACTCATATAATAACATTATTACCAAACTTTGTAGGCATTCTATGTGTTTACAATCGGCAAGGTACGTGTGTTGTTGTTGTCCACAAAACGACTTCCCCAAATGGCCATTCTCGAAATAGCTGTGCTCATCAGCCGTGGGTTGGTTGTCAACTTCTGGGTTTGCACTTTTTATGAGATTTTGCGCTTAATAGCCGACGGTATGGCTTCCTACTGTGTTCAAGTAACTGGAAATTGGCGTTTTGCATGACTTTTCTCAAATTAGTGGTGAAAATATAACTTATTAATTAAGTTTTAGAAGTATTGGGGCTAGTAAAAACTTTGGTTTAGATAACACTGAATTTACTATCACAAACAATTTTGCATACTTTTCCGCTCTGTAAAACATCTTAAACTTATTTAAAATACTGGTTTTTTTTTTAGAGATGACTACCATTTGATGGTGACAGAATGAAGGGTATTTCTAATTGTACGTCTTCTGTATGAGTCAAAACAAAAGTTGTCAGCAAATTAGTGAACAAATACTCTACTTACAAGACTTGCTGTAAATTGTTTAAGCTGGAAAAATTAATTCAGATCAGTAATGTCTTCTGTTATGTGCAATCACTCTATTTACATTCATATTTAAATGTAATAAAGACAAATTTATTGACTGCTTCCACCTTGTACATGTAATGTGGCTGTAGGTAATAACATCCCAAGAAAGAATGCGAGTCGTCCAAAAAATAAAATTTAGTGACTCACTATCCTAATGGTTGTGTATATCTTGAATAATTTTTATACTCAATATATATTTTTTTCAGTTCCTCAGGAAAAAAAACTTTCCTTTAAACCATGATGGGGGAGCAAGGATGTTTAGACCCTCAAATGCAGCCTGCAAGACTGGTCTATAATTCAGATAAACATCCTCGACAGACCCTTGAAGCAACCAACAACTTACGAAAACACAGGGAACTTTGCGATGTTGTCATTATTGTTGGACAGAAACGGATATACGCACACAGGGTTATATTGTCAGCATGTAGTCTGTACTTCCATGCCATGTTTACTGGTGAACTTGCAGAGAGTAGACAAACTGAAGTGACAATAAGAGACATTGATGAGAATGCCATGGAATTGTTAATAGACTTTGCATACACATCCTCCATCACAGTCGAGGAAGGCAATGTTCAGACACTCTTACCAGCAGCTTGTTTATTACAGCTACAGGAAATACAAGATGCTTGTTGTGAATTTCTGAAAAGACAATTAGATCCTTCCAATTGTTTAGGAATACGTGCATTTGCCGATACCCACGCGTGCCGAGATTTGCTGAGAATTGCTGATAAATTTACACAACATAATTTTCAAGAGGTAAGTCAAATGCAGTATTTGCTCTATTAGTAGCTCATGCATTAACATTGATTACAAATGTGTGTAGTAGTCAAATAAGTCGTATATTAATGGTCCATCCAATTTTTGGTTTGTTATTAATAAAGTATAAATACAGGCAATTTTATGTGCACTTTAGAGATGTGGTTCTCGATTATAGTTAATAATTTTTTCATCTGCAAACTCAAACTGACTATGAGATAAACATTTATCTGTTTACTGTAGACAAAATGATGTTATTACTACACAATATACCTCAAATATGTTAGAGGCACTTATCATATTGCCTAAACAATCTTAAAATGTTCCTAATTTTAATGAAAAGCAAAAACACTATGATCCATATATCACTGGCAAAGTTTATTAAAAACAATTTTCTTCGAAGATAGCAGTACCTCCTTAATTGTCAATTCTGTATTTTATTTTTTGTAATTATTGTTCGTGTATTATTGTGACTTTTGTTAGTGTATGTGTTTTTCTTTGTTATGTTACCATTTTCATTCTTTCTGAGGAGCATTTTTTTATTTGAAATTGATGTGTAGCAGGTGTTGATACGATCTGCACTGAGATGCAATCTTGTATTGCCTGGGTGCATACTTTGGAGTATTCCCAAATAACCTTATTGTAACAACTTTTTCCTCTTTCATACCTTCATCTTATTTGTCTGCATAATTGGCAACAGTCATTGATCACATGTCGCGCTGTTGCTGTGACTGATGTAAACAAGACGGAAAATAAATATGCCGAAATTTGCCAAAAATGGAAATTTGTTCAAACTATGTCATGGCTGTTTTGTTTGTTTTTTCAATATTTTCAATTTGTAAGCATGACTAAACTGAATAACACAATGAATGATTATAAATTAATATTTTAAACTATAAAGATGAAAACATTATAAATGATATGGCAAAACACATCTATAACTGTTTTAATATACCAGTACAAGAAAATTCAATTAAATGGGAAATGCATAAACCATCTGCTTCAGAAAATACAAATTACCCCGGTAACCAGTTTTTCTATGTCTAGAAATTTTACTGTCTTGTTTTTTCCTGTATTGTTAGTGTTCGTTATTTTCTATGCTTTACTCTATTGTATATTTCATCAAAACCTCAAATATAGGATATAATAGCAATAAAGATTCTATTCCTAATAGAGGTACAAATGTATGTGTGGAGATTGAAATCAACACTCTGTGCCACCTGAATACGCACAAGTTTTTTTGTCCTTGCATGAAACATCTTTGATAACTTGTATGTTTCAGGTAATGGAAAGTGAGGAATTCATGCTGCTTCCTGTCAATCAACTCATAGAAATCATTGGCAGTGATGAATTGAACGTCCGAACTGAAGAACAAGTGTATAGTGCTGTAATGGCATGGGTCAAGTACATTATAGGAGACAGGCGATGTTTGTTACCACAGGTACCATCTTTAAAATCAAATTGCTAGCTCTGCTAGACCTCATCAACAGCGGAGCTGTTCATATTATTGATGGATCGTCTGTGCCAACTTTACATTTTTGACTTTCTTTTTAAAAATCATCAGCTGTATGGGATCCTTTAGACAAGATGTCACAGCGGTTATGAACAAATTTTGATTGACACATAGCATCGATGCTTTTAGTCATAATTTTGTGATTTAAAACATGCAAATGCATTTTATAGGATTTGCATTGGAGTGTATGCACCATCGGTTGTATTCTTATTTCCACCATACACTGCATTGCTGCATCTGATTTGTAAACATACAATTATGCGTAAATATGATGCACATTTTGGAGGGAGACGTCTGTAACATATTTGAAATGTGTCTGTAACAATTCATATAACATTTTATAGACAGCTCAGTTACGTTGTTTACGCTGACAGATGACTAGTTTAATAGTGCTGTTGGTATATCTTTGCTTTTTCTAAGTTCTCAAGTGAGTTCAACCTTTGCAAAACAATGCGTAAAACACACTTTATCTTCATAGGTCCTTGAACATGTTCGACTGCCGCTACTAAATCCTAAATTTCTAGTTGGTACAGTTGGTTCGGATCTACTCATAAAGAGTGATGAATCATGCCGAGATCTTGTTGATGAAGCCAAGAACTATTTACTATTACCCCAAGAAAGACCGTTGATGCAAGGACCAAGAACACGACCCAGGAAACCTATCAGATGCGGTGAAGTTTTATTTGCTGGTAAGGGGTATATTTGTACTCGCCTTTTTATTTTATACAGCCAGGAAAAAACTTTTATGGCAGTCAAAATTCTGTAGTAGATATGAAATTTCAGTGACTATTATCCTTGTGGATGACTTCAAATGCATCGATTTTCACTTTGTAAGCATATAATGTTAATTATTAAAATTATACATTCATTTATCAATGGTTGAATTGGTGAAGGAAAATTTGGGTGACTCGATTAATAAGTACTTTATACTGCAAAAGTGCCCTCAGTGTTTGAAGAATCCACAGAGTTTGCAATTTGAAGTAATTTTGAATTAAAAAAGACAAATTTCACAATTCTACTCTCACATTCAGTCTTCTAAAATTCCTGTCAAGTATTTCAGTCAATGCAGTTGTATTCATGAAATTAGTAAAGGCTGCATAGACAGATATATATTATATACAGAAAATGGTCATGGTTAGTGCTAGTGTCTTGGCAAGTCCCACTTATAAAATTTTAAGAAATTGAAATTTGACCCTCGATAACTTTATCAGAGATTGGACACCAGCTTTCCCTCTTCAATAATTGGGGTGCGGGAAGCAAAATATGCAATCACTGAATGGTATTAGGTAATTGTAGTCCCTAGTAGTTATTCTATATATAACCAGACGTTCTTCAATGACAGATATGAATAGTTTGTCAAAACATCTCATTATTATTATATACTAATTACCTAGGACTA